CTCTCCACACACTCACCGGACCTGGGCTAGGACTGGGTCTGGGGGCTCAATACTTTAATTTTAGACAGGCCACTAAACTGCTTGGGCTGGACTTGAACTTGTGATCCTCCTGCCTTAGCCTCCCAGAAGGCTGGGATTACAATTGTGAGCCACCAAGCCCAGCTACTCCATTACATTTCATCAGTTTTTCCAACTATGTCCTTTTTCGGTTCAGAATACAGGTCACATTTTCTTAGCACACCCCTGCCACCCGCCCCAGGTATCATAGTAGAAGGCCAGGACATCTGGCTAGAGGGCAGGCTGTGGAGCAGAGGGACCACAGGCAGGGCTGGGAGGGTCTGCAGGACCCTGGGGTCCTCATGAGCAACGGCCACCACCTGGGCCACCTAGCTCTTCCAGGATGGGACTGGGCCCTTGGGTGCCACATCTGTTGGGGGAGTTGCTGGGGGCACCCAAGAGGCAGCACCCCAGCCGTCCCCTTCTCTCTGCTTCTGCAGCGGCCTGCGGACCAGGTACCTACTTCAGCGGTGAGCAGGGCCAGTGTGTGCCGTGCTCGTCGGGGACCTACCAGGACCTACAGGGCCAGCTCAGTTGTACCCCATGCCCCAGCAGTGATGGACTTGGCCTGGCCGGTGCCCGCAACGTATCTCAGTGCGGAGGTAAGTGTCAGCCCAGCTGGCGGGGAGGCGGGCCAGGGCTGCTTGATTGAGGCTTCCAAGGCAAAGGTGGAGCCGTGGCGGCCAGAGTGTCACGTGCTCTACAGCACTTGGGCATTTCAGGACTACTCGGCATCTACGTAGGCATTACTCAGACAGGGCACTGCTTATTATTCCCAGGGTGCCCTGGGCCTCAGAGCGCCCCAAATGCCTCAGCCCCCGAGAGACTTCTCAGTGTTTGCCTGCCCCGTGCTGTAGCACAGACAAGGGGGCTGTGGCAGGCCGCAGAGTGAGTCACAGTTGGTGTCACATCCCAACCCACTGCGGGTCAGGCCACATGCGTGGAAACTTGCTGGGTCGGGAACTTGACTCCACATAAGGAACTTTACAATTTGGACCAAGCACTGTGGTCTATACTTGGAATCCAAGCAGCTCAAGAGGCTGAGGCAGGAGGATCATAAGTTCAAAGTCAACCTGGGCAACTTAATGAGACTCTGTCACAAAATACAAAATAAAAAGGGGTGGGCCAGTGCTCACTGGGTTCAATACCCACACACACACACACACACACACACACACACACACACACACACAGTTTGCCCCATAGCTGGTTGAAAGAGAGCCCTTCTGCAATTTATCCAGCACAGTTTGGTTTGTGAAGGGCTTTACCACTTTGCATCCCACCCAGCCCATCGGCAAGGTGGTCAGAGTCTCCCAGAAGCCTTTCCTCCTGAGCCATTGTGGGGCCCTCCCTGGGGAGGGGAAGGGGACCTTGGCACTGGGAAGGGGTGTCTGGGGACAGCGGAGACATCTGTCCTCCTTCCAGTGCCCTCTCCAAGTGCAGCCCCCCCTGCAATGGTGACTGTCAGAGCTTGGGGTAACCACGGGGGAGGAACAGTCCCCGAGTCTGGGCCGAGAGGTCCCCAAACCCACTTCTCCCCTAATGCTGAGACACCTGCATGCTGCCTTCCTGCTGGGCTCTAGAACATTCTTTATGTTGAGCCCAAGTCCCTTTGTGCCACAGGGACACCAGGCTTGGCCAGGCCACCCCACCCCACCCGGTGCCTGTCCCAGGGCCCTGCCACCGACACCCATCCTGAGCAGTGACCTCTGACTTGCAGGCCAGTGCTCTCCGGGCTCCTTCTCAGTCGATGGCTTCAAGCCGTGCCAGGCCTGTCCCCTGGGCACCTACCAGCCCGAGCCTGGGCGCACCCGCTGTTTCCCCTGTGGTGGGGGGCTGCTCACCAAGCACGAGGGTGCTGCCTCCTTCCAGGACTGCGAGGCCAAAGGTGAGGGGGCCCCTCCACCCGCCCTGTGCACCTCCCATCTCCTCACCCCAACCACCCTTGAGCTCCAGGGGACCCTCAGGACTGCCAGACTCTGGGCCTGAGCCCAGCACACCTCCTCCCTAGCTGGTGACCCACTTCTCCTTCCGCAGGCCCTCTGTCTGTCTGTCTGTCTGCCTGCCTGCACTGACAGCCAAGGCCCTGGGTCCACAGAGCCAGTGCAGAATGGCCCAGCCCCCAGCGCCACCCCCCCTCCTCCCGCACCACACTCTGGCTTCTGTCTTTCACCTTCCTTTCCTCCTCCTTTGCCCTGAACTCCTTCATTCACAGTCACCCAACTGTTCCCAAACATTACTTCCATGTAGGTGACCCACAGCATCCTTGGGCTCCTGGGGGCCACACACTTCCTCCGTCTGCCCCTGGCTTGGGCCCCTCCTGGGTCTTCCTCGTGTCCAGCACACAGCTCTTGCGCTGTCCTTGTGTCCCAGCTAGTGTGGCCGCTCAGTATCCTCAGCATCCTGACCTCTTCTCCCGGTGGGGGAGGTCCCTGCCCTGCCCTGCTCTGGTGCACCAGACCCCCGCCGTGTGTCCCCCACCTACAGTGCACTGTTCCCCCGGCCACCACTACAACACGAGCACGCATCGCTGCATCCGCTGCCCTGTGGGCACCTACCAGCCCGAATTCAGCCAGAACCACTGTATCACCTGCCCAGGCAACACCAGCACCGACTTCGACGGCTCCACCAATGTCACCCACTGCAAAAGTAGGTGTCGCTCTCACTAGGGTGGGGAGGTGGGTGGGACGGGTCGGGATGGGGGAGACGGCCCCTCCCCTGTGGGGTGCCTTAGGAAGCCTACATCCATCCTGAGCCCGTGCCTGGAGGGGCAGTGTCTACCTGGTCCACTGTCAGGGCCACATCTTGGGGCCATGGTGCCTTGGCTCCCCTCCCTCACTAGACGCGGCCTGTGCCCAGGTAGCTAAGCATAACAGACCTGATGCTGGACTACTTTAAATTCATTTTGTAGAGTTTCTGTATTTCACCCTTTGCTAACCAATTTTCTGGGCGATGGGTCCTGTCCGGAGCCACCTAACAACCTGTGAAGGGGCCTCCGTTCCTGGCAGCAGCAGTGGCTCCCCAGCAGGGCTGTCCCCAGAAGAGCGCACAACCCTCAGGAGCAGAACAGTGCAGCAGAGGAGTCTGCAGATACAGGCTTTTCAGCGCCCTGATGGGTTAAAGTAGGAAGCTTCTGGAACCCTGGAGGTCGGAAGGACACGTCACCCAGAAATAAAACAGGACAAGATACTCAGAATGCACAGGAAACGAATACACGCTTCACATTTACATTCTGTTCATTTTACAAAACTGACTGCCTTCTACCTTCAAAGCTGGGAACCATTTAGCTCATAAAAGTGCCACATCCAACCTCTCTAGATGGTCTTGGTTAGTAAGGAAAGGAAAACGGTCATCTCTTTCCTCACTACTCTCCCCTCCTGTGATCTCTTGCCCCTGGCGGAGAGGGTGCCCATGCCTCAGCTGGTGGGCTCAGCGAGGGGGTCTGGGTACCAAGAGGGAGGGCAGGCGAGCTTCACCGGGAGATTCGGGAGCGCAGCAGACATGCGGGCAGCTGCATGAGGGCTGACAACCTTTGGGACACCCAAGAAGGGAGGTGGGTCCGTGGCAGGCAAGGCAGCCCCCTGAGAAGGAGCCATGCAGCCGGGGCCTCAGGAGCCAACAGGTGTGCAGGGCCCGGGCCAGGGCTGCTGGGCACTGGAGGGCAGGTGGAGGCCGGGCTGAGGACTCAGCTGGCCGCGGTACCCACAGACCAGCACTGCGGTGGTGAGCTTGGTGATTACACGGGCTACATCGAGTCCCCCAACTACCCCGGCGACTACCCAGCCAACACCGAGTGCGTGTGGCACATTGCGCCACCCCCCAAGCGCCGGATCCTCATCGTGGTCCCTGAGATCTTCCTGCCTATTGAGGATGAGTGCGGTGATGTCCTAGTCATGAGGAAGAGTGGTGCGTGCTGGCCTCACGGCCCGAGCTGGGGCTGGGGCTGGGGCCAGGGCTGGGGTTGGGGCTGGGGCTGGGGCTGCACTGGTTGCAGCCACATGGGCATACCCTGGCACGGCTCTGAGGGGCAGGAGGAGGTCCTGGTGAGGCTACAGGAGTAGTGTGGGGAGGTCTAGGAAGCTGGGATGTGCCCTACACAGGACCTAGCCACCCGCAGCGCCCCTCCCCTCTTCCTCTTACACACCCCAGTGAGACCCCTGAAGTGCCCTCCTGGGTCAGCATGTCCTACCAGTGAGAAAGCAGAAGCTGCTGGGTGCCCCTACAGGGAGCCTGCAGAGACCGCACCACTGCTGCCGGGAGCGGGCACTTTATTCCCAAACCCAGCACCCCATGCTCTGTGAGCCTACTGAACCAGAAAGGGCAAGGGAGCTGCCCCGGGTGTCCTCCCACCTGCATGGTCCACCCACCGGGCGGCAGCACTGAGCTCAACTTCCAGAGGCACCCAGGAGGGCTCCCTGGGGAGCAGCAGAGACCCTTGCTCCTTGGTTCACAGGGGGAGGAGGCCCCCAAACCTGACCCTAGGACCCCATGATGACCTACACAGTCCCCTTAGCTTCAAAGGAGTAGGAGGCCCGAGGCAGATGTTAAGAGAGAATTGCATGTTTAGGGGATCAGGTGGGTAGAAGTTGAGGCCCTGCAGGTCTGGGGGCACCTCCACCATGCTGTGGCTCCCCTCAGCCTCTCCCACATCCATCACCACCTATGAGACTTGCCAGACCTACGAAAGACCCATCGCCTTCACCTCCCGATCCCGGAAGCTCTGGATCCAGTTCAAATCCAATGAGGGCAACAGTGGAAAAGGCTTCCAAGTTCCCTATGTCACCTATGATGGTAAGGCAGGACCCTGTCATCACCCTCACTGTGTGCCCAGGCCAGAAGGACAGAGTCACCTGTCCCTGCCACCCAGCAAAACAGAGTGAGGCCATCCCTGCCGGGTTTGGAAGGTTCACAGGACAACTGCAGCTGGAGGAGAAAGGGTGGGTGGGTAGAGGAAACTGGGGCGCCAAGGTCCCAGGCAGAGCTGCACCCAGGGCTGTCACACAGAGCCAGCTCCAGGGAGGACGAGGCTGCAAGGAGAGGGTCTCAAGCCCCCGCCTTTCTCCTCGCCCGGCTGCCCAGAGGACTACCAGCAACTAATCGAAGATATTGTCCGTGATGGGCGCCTGTATGCCTCTGAGAATCACCAGGAAATCTTGAAAGTGAGTTTACTGAAGGGGAATCCACCGACTCTGAGTGACCGGCCCTGGTGACTCTGAGTGACTCTGTGCGCCCCCACCCCGACTCCTGAAGAGGAAAGGGAGAAAGAGGGCCTGGGGCTGGGGCTGGGGCCCGCATGGACATCTATCTCCCCAAACCAGGAGCCTGGCCCTGGTGACGTGGCCTGAGCAGGTTCTTTATCTGGGGTTCTCAGTGATACTTTCCTGCCTGTGAAAGAGGGCCTGTCACAGGGTGGTACCTTATGGTGACCTTGCACAGCAGAGCCACTGGGCCCTAATGGGAGGCTGGGGCTAGCTGTTGGCAGCACTGGGCAGAGGCCTAGGGCTCAGTCCTCACCTGGAGGCGAGGCCTGGGGTGGGCGCCTCAGCATTCGAAGACCCCCACCCCCGCTACCTTGCAGGACAAGAAGTTGATCAAGGCTCTGTTCGACGTGCTGGCGCACCCCCAGAACTACTTCAAGTACACGGCCCAGGAGTCCAAGGAGATGTTCCCTCGCTCCTTCATCAAGCTGCTGCGCTCCAAAGTGTCCCGGTTCCTGCGGCCCTACAAGTAACGCTCAGCACTGTCTGCAGGGACGGCGAGGAGGAGGGAGGGCTCCCTTCCCTCCAAGGAAGAGCAGAAGGTGGCCCCTTGGGCCTCTGTGTCACCTTGGGAACCCCGTGACGTGTGCCCCTCAGGAAAGCCATGGCAGGCTGGCACGGAGCCCGGGCCTCCCTCGGATCTGCCGTCCCGGGGGGAACACTTTGCTCCAGGACGCTTGTGTCCCCCCTTTCGCCTCTTCATTTCCCAGGACACCAAGAGCACCATCTCCTGAGCAGCCGGCAGGATGCTGACCCCATGGGTGACCAGAGAGTGCGTGCCCTACACGTGACATTTCTGGAGACAAGAATGCGGCCTGTGCTCTCCCTGGGACGCTGGAGAAGGCAGGGGCTGACGTCACCACACAGGAAGGACGGCCAGGGAAGGAAGAGCAAGGAGCTGAGGCATCGGGGTTGACGAGCCTGCGTTGATGGCGACCCCCCTGGGGCTGCCACATCCTGCAGGCTCCTCTGGCCACAGGCACGGGACACAGTCGGTGCCTGGTCATTGGGCTCTAAGGACGCTGTGATAGACAGAGCAGAGCTGCACAGGGAGAAATAGCTTTCTCTTGATAGGACATCTAATTAAGTACTATATACATAAATATAAATATAAGATTATATATATATATATATATACTGCTATTTGTGGGGACCCTAGGAGAATGCTCCTTAGGGACCGGCAATATGGGTCACCACTGCCTGCCTGCCTGGAGGATTAAGCTGCACCTCCTGTGACTGCCACCTCCCACGAGTGCAGGGAGAGCCAGGCTGGACCAGCAGTGCCTCCACATGTGCACACTTGGGACCCGGGCTTGGGTGCTGTTGGAGTATCAACCCCACCCCACATCCCTCATCACTGCCCTCGGTGCGACCCCATGGACAGCAGCCTCTCCGAGCCACGAACTTCAGAAGGGGCCTGAGGCCCAGCACTGGTGACGTCCCTGAGTTCCGTGCTGTGCCCACGAATCACCCAGAAATGAGATCTTTCTCAAGGAGGCATAGGCTGTGCTGACTGGGGACCTTGGATCAGCGACCAGAAGGGGGACAAGGCTGGGCACAGACTCCTTTCTGCCACACCGCACTGCCTGCCTGAGTCCCTTCGGACTCAAGAAGTCTGAGTGTGACCAGGAACTGAGCACCTGGGACACAGCCGGGTGAGACCAGTGACATCCCAAGCTCTGCAAGTCCTCACTGCTTGGCCTCCTGTCTGCTGCCATCTGTTCAATGCGTGTAAGAAATAAGCGTGTATGTTTCAGGTTAACAAATATTAAAATGAATTCCAGCCCCCAATTCTAAGCAGCCAATGGGGTTCAGGCTTCCAGCCCTGCCTGACTAATGGGAGTTTGAGAAATGCACAGGACCTATGGAGATTTGTAAAGCAGGCAGGTGACAGAGGTCCTGAGACCTCAAGCTGATGACTCGCACATAGGGTGTGGCGCAGTCTTCTGTCCAGAAAAAGGGGCTGGAGCCCAGGGATGAGCCAGCACCATGACCCCTGTGTACCAAAGCCGAGGACAGTGGCCACTCTACCCTTGCTGAAAGGTTGGCATCCACTGTGAGCCCTGCCAGGGGCCGCACTTCCTCTGCTGGTCACAGTCCCTCCAGCCAGCCTCATTTTCCAGAAAGAGATCTCCCTTCCTTTGTTGGGTCCCAGAAACAAGTGCAGATGGCAAGTGCCCCAGGGAGGATGCTGTGAGGAGCTCGGCCTCATGAATAGGGCAGGGCTGACAAGACGTTCAGAGAAAGGACTGGAGGGGACTTATTATAAGAACCACCTCTCAGAACCATGGAGGCGAAGGTGTTCTGTGAGGGAAAGTGGGAGGCTGGCAGCATAGTTCAGGCTGAATCCAACTAGAGAAGCGGGGCACTGGTGCCCCCATGGAGTCCAGAGGCTAGAAAACCAGGAGCGGAAGGGAGATGTACCAGCGCCTGGAGAGTGAATGTTCCCTTCCTCTGCCTTTTGGTTCTGTCTAGCCCAGGGACCTTACCGTCGGTGGGGACAGACACCCAGGGTACAGAGTCCAAATAACATTGGCCACAGGCCAAGTTTGAAAGCCTTAAGAGCAACCTCTGGCCTCTGACCTCTGACCTCTGACCTCTAACAAATGTTCTGTCAGTGTCAGGGCTGTCGTGGTCCTTAGCTGAATCCAGCAGTTGATGTTATTTGGTGTGGCTACCGCCCCTGTCAGGAGAATAAGGCCCTAAAATAAGCTGGATCATCTAGCAGCATTGACCAAGCATTGTCGGTGTGCCAGGCTCCTGGGAAGACAGAATAGGGCAGGCACAGTGAGGACAACCTGCAATAACTGGCTGACCCTGCCCAGTACAGCCACTGCCCGGGAGGCAGGGATCCCAAGTGTCTTTCCTCCTGCTGGGCCACCTGTACCTGATAGCAAGGTCCCATCACTTCACCAAAGGTACACATGGTGGCAGCCCAGCCCTTCTGACTAAGGGGACAGTACCAAGCTGATGCCATTCAGGCTAGAGCTGAAGGACGTGATATGCATGGAAATGCCCCTGGAGCACAGAGACGAGCAAAGAGCCCCTCTGCTCCCCGCTGCCTTGGCTCCCGCGGCACGCACAGGTCAGGAGCCGTCCAGGATGAGCCAGAAGCAGGACAGGGCTGGAGTCCGTGCTGGGCTGCCTGCCTGTCTTGCGTGGAAAGGTACCGAGGAGGAAGTCATACCAGGGCGCAGACAATGAAGGCGTGGCGTGTTCTGGGCTCTACTTATGACCCCCACAGCGCAGGCCCTGGGGTCCCTGAGGCCTCCCAGTCCCTGCTGGGCCACACCAGCTTGGAGCCTGCTGGGAGGACCCTTTGAAACTGCCCAGACTCCCGGGGTCTCACAGGAAGTGAACGGTTATCCACCGTCTCCTGTGTGTCAGACACCCAGCTCTACCCTTCCCATCCACACGGGTGATCCTTCTGGCCCAGCGAGGTCACAGGGAGGCCACTGTCTTCATGTGTGGGTGTCAGGACTCAGGGAGACCAAGTGACACAGCCAAGATGAAGAGCTAGAGATGGGTGGAGTTGGGAACCCAACCCAAGCCCTCTGGTCCCTATGTAGCAGCTGTCCCTATGAATGTTGATTAATCTGCATTTGTAGGTAGGAGCCTCAGCCAGGCCGACCTGGGACAAGAGGGTCCAAGACAGGAAGGGTGGCACAGACACATGAGGGCGACTTCAGTGACACTCTCTTCCTCTACAAACATTTAACATTCAGAGAAAGATGGGCTTGAAGTCTCTTGGGACAGGGGACAGATGCTCAGGCATGAGCTGGTCCTGCCACCTGGCATCTACACCTGCTCTTGGGGTGTTCCCGGTTCCGTCCTGCCGCTCCCAGGAATGGCCCTCAAAATGGCATAACACAGTGAGTGTGGTGCCCATGGGCAGACGTGGGGAAAGGTCGAGGGTGTGGGACAGCTTTGTGGTGCCAAGGGTTTGGTTCTTAAACCAGAGGCCAAGTAGATCTGCAGCGGGCAAACTGCAGATCCTGCCAGGCCAGAATAGCCACGCAAACCCAGTCCACGTGCTGCAGCATCAGCCGTCAGAGAGCCGCACTGTCCCCTGCAGCTCTCTTCCCGCCTTCTGCCAAGGGTCTGGCCTGTCCCGCCCGCCGTCTGCTGCAAGGGTAACAAAGAGCAACAGAGACACAGTTTCCTTTTAGTTGCCTCAAATATTCAAAGCTCTGTTTTTGCCACCACACCCCCCATACACGTGTAACTGACCAATTGTGAGAATCACTTCAATAATAAACAAGAAATGAACCTAAACATTGCTCTGCCCTCATACTCATTAGGGTCATGGTCAGGGGTGGGGAGAGGTAATGGGAATCCAGAAAAGGAAAAAGAATAAGACATTATTTCTTGACTACAGCAGCCTTCTGGAAAGCAAAGCAGGGAGTTAGAGAGCCACAGATGGAGAAGCAGAGCTCTACTGCGGGCAGGTAACCTGTCCATATCGCCACTCCCATTTCCACTGAGGATTTACATTTAAAAAACAAATGTTCTTTGGGGTCCTGGGTGTAGTTCAGTGGAAGAGCACTTGCCTAGAATGTGCAAGGTCCCGGGTTCCACCCTCAGGACACCAGAGAGAAAAGAAGCAGAGTTAGAGATGCACAGTACTCTGCGTGGGTTTGTTCTAAGAATATAGCCGGATGGATTGCTCTGGATTGTAAAAGGAATCTAGTCATCATCAAGGCTAATAACAACTATTCCTCTCAATAATACACTCTACAGGGGAAAAAAAAAACAGTTCATAAAATACTAGTTCGCATTCTGAATAAATACCAGTTGAACACTACTGGCTCTTCCTTGGCTTGGCACAGTGGTTCTGATGTCCAAGGAGGTGGGGAGGGAGTGGCTGAGTGGCAAAGCACATGCTAAGCATACGCAATTCCCTAGGTTCCGTCCCAGGATCACAAAATCTAAGTTTAAAGTGACTTTTTCATGTTTGCCCAAGAGAATTGAAAGCAGGGACTGGAACAGGTGTTGAAATGCAGTGTTTGTTCATGTCATCAAAATTCACAGTTGCTACAGTAAGGCGGGAGATTAGGGCATGGCCAGCTGGCTGGAAATCCAGGAGATGCGCACCTGGAACGTCAAAAAGTGCTGCCCTCACCTCTTGGCCCCTGTGCTCTCTCTTTCACAGTGGTCCCCTCACACCCTGCAGAGTGTACTTCTTTTCCTACTTTCGATTGGCCTACTCACTTTGAAGAGCATGTTTCATGTTTTGCCTTTAATAAATGTAAAATCTCTTTGCCTTTTGTGTTTGTCTTGACCAATTCTTTGTTTAGCACAAAGAAGAATCTAGACAAAACATCTACAGAGTCCCCCTGGCACCCCAGCACCCAGTAACAAAAGGGTACAAAGAGCTCAAGAAACATTGGCAGATGCCTGGATAAAACTTGGGTGTCTAATTACCATCTGGAAGGTGCTCAACCTCATAATAATGTGGGAAATACAAATACAACAAAGAGGTACTATGGCAGCACTAGGTTGACAAATATTAAGTGATCGAAGAACAGAGAGGATGGGCTGGGGAGATAGCTCAGCAGTGTAAGAGCCTGCCTATCAAGTGCAAGGACCCAGGTTCAATCCCCGGTACAGTGTGCCATGCCAGCCCCAAAACCCAGCATGGCGGTGCTTGCCTGCAATCCTAGTGCGGGGGAGGATGAGACAGGAGGATCACTATGAGTCTGAGCTTGTGTAGTGAGACCCTGTTTCCAATGAATAAAGCATACGAATCAGAAAACATACAAGACTATCCATAGCCTGACCTCTATAAGAGCCAAATGCTTCAGGTAACCCACATGTCCAAAGGGGCAGCGGAAGATCACTGTAAACTAACACAATTAAGTCTCGCCCAGCAATATAAATTGATCATGGCCCAATACAACAGTAAGGATACATCTCAAAAATGTAGCATACGGGAACACCAGAGTGTCTGCTTGCCTCAGCATATTAGAGCCTGTAGCCAGGACAACAGGGCAAGAAAAAAAACAAAAGTCATCTTCTAGAGTGGCTGAGACAGGATGACCATGAGTTTGCAGCTAGCCAAGGCAACATAGTAAGACCCTATTTCTCAGTCGGTCAACAAATAAATGTGATCTAGATTTGAAAGGCAATAAAATCTTATATCAACATTCAAACATCACTTGTATTTGACCTGCATGTGGCACACATCTGTAGCCCCAGCTCTCGGCAGCCTGAGGCAAGAGGATTGCCGTGAGTTCAAGTCCAGCTTGGACTACAGAGTGAGTTAGGGCCCACCTAAATTATATAGAAAGATCCTGTTTCAAAAACAAACAAAGCATATCAATTGTATTTGTACTCTGGGAGGCTGAAGCAAGAGGATTCCAAGTTGAGTCCCTCCTGAGCAACAAAGGCAGACCTAACCTCGCAATCAAAGATAGAAAAGGGCTGGATTTAGCTCAGCAATACAGCATCCCTAAATATGACCCCCAGTATCTAAAACATCAGTTGTATTTCTACACACTAACAATGAATTAATTGGAAAACAAAATTTTAAAATTCCATTTATAGTTGGATATGGTGGTGCATGCTTATGATGTCAGAGGCATGGAAGGCTCTGGAAGGATCTGGAAGGCTGAGGCAAGAGCATCATCACAAGCTGGAGTCCTCCCTGGACAACTCAGTAAGACTTAAAAAAAGTCTAGGGGACCAGGGAGGTGGCTCAATAGAATAAGTGCTTCCCTGGCAAGCACAAGGGCCTGAGTTCAATTCCTGGTTCTGAAAAAAAAAAAAAGTCTAGGGGTATAGCTCAGTGCAAAAGCTCT